CGAGCGAACGAAGCGAACGGCTAGTAGCGTGGATTCAAGTTTTATGAGTGTTGAATGGAAAAAAAGTATTGGTGGTGGGTACAGCTGCTGCTGCTGCAGAATCCGGCGGCGAATTCATGTTTATTCGAGTGGTGATTTTGAAGAAGTTAAACTTGGCCTTTTGTAAATGTGTGTATATATGTGTGTTTTGTAGATCGACGGTATAAGCCATTTGATTCGATTTGTCGTACTGGGTATACGAACAAATCGATTCTCCTTCGGCGCGGAGGGTAGTTACAGCGGTGGTAGGCGCAAACAATGAAAAATACGTCGCGATATTACAATGGACCAGAAACACACACACAACGAGGCCATTATCAGTGAAACACGCGCCCGACACAAAACAGCTATTCCTCCTGTTTTTTTCGGTCATCGGTAATAATTCAAACGTCTTCGTCGTCGTCTATTATATCAAGGGTTTGGATTACATTTATAACTTTCATAGAGAGAGAGAGAGAGAGAGAACTCGGCGCGCCGCATATTCTCTCTCGCTGCTACAATACCATTAGTCAATTGTGTACATTATTGACTTAGCTATGTATATAATACGCGGCGCAATTTCTCGAATTCCTCGTCGGGTCAATCGATAGTATTACAATAATAATCAGCCTCTCTCTCTCTCTCTCGCGTCTGCGATAAGATTCAATTATGATCGCTGAAATGTTGGCATTTCGTGAGAGGGGTGGGTGTGGTGGTCCTGCTTACGAATTTGTCCAAGCTTGAGAGTCTCTCGGCTATAGGTAAGAAACTGCACGAAAAAAAAGCTGCATCTTTCGATCCTCGATGTAGAATCAAGCTCGAAACTCGCTAACTCCGTTGAGAGAGAGAGAGAGAGAGATAGCTCGAGAATAATTTGCGAGTATATCTTATAGTGGGAATTAGTATATAGATCTTGAGCGAGTTGCGAGCGTTGACGGATCGGATTAACCCAAATGACAAGGCGAAACGCCCGACGTTGTCGTCGTCGTCGTCGTCTTCGGAGTCGTCGGTATTGACTCAGGAGCAGCGACGGCAGCTGAGCAAGAGACGCTGCGCTGTAACTTCGGGGGAAGAGACTGTGTGTTATTAGACTTAACGGAAGGAATTGCCAATTAAAATGTCGGATACAATAACGTTATCGCACTATTGTGCGGATGCGTGTGTGTTTGCCGTTGTAGTCGGCTTGTCAGTTATATGCATAAAACACAAACTCGTGAAACAAGAAAACAATCCTCAGGAAGTAAAAAGAAACTATGTATTTGATAAACATGATTTAATTTTTTATTATGTTGCTTCATCGAATTGAATTAGTGTTTTAAACAATCACTCGCAATCTAGTGCAGCTATAATAATAATTTACGTCTTTAAAGTACACAAAAAAAAGCGTGACAGCACGAACGAGACTTCTATTTTTTTAAATAGAATTGAAAAAAAAAATTGTTTTTTTTTTCAAATAATTTTTGTTGCAATTTTTTTGTTATACTCTGCCGGCTAGGTGCTACTGTGCACACCTCTTGATCATGGATACGCAATTCACGCGCTCGACCCTACGATGTGCAAATAAAGCCCCGTAATACATAGAGTCAGCAAAAAATTTTACAAGCTACTGCCGTTCCAACTCTCTCTCTCACACTAACACATCGACTTTTTTTGCTAGATCCACTTTTACGCTCCAACTTTTTTCTTTCTCTCTCTCTCTCTCTCACTCGCTCCAGCACTTATACACGTCCTGTGTCCCCGCGAAGGTACCAGATGCGGAAAATCGGTCCGCTAACATGCAGAAATCGAAAAGTTTTTCGAAAGTTTCGATGGCTCGTGTAGCGATATGAAACGTTTCTTATATACGGTAATAGAACGGGCTAGAATAATTTTACACCGTTTTTATATCTCATTTTGAATATGTATAGCCCTCGACGAGCCGATATCGATTTCGCTCTCGTGCCGTCGGCCGTATCCCATTCCGATAGCTCGATGAATACGAGCTGAGAAACGCGCATAAGTGATCTCGATCTCCGGGAAATAAAGAGAGGAAAAAAAGCGCGAAGACAATTAAAATATCTGCACATCGGGCAGGTTTACATATCCTTATGCAGCGTGTAATATATCTGTATATACGTTCGAGCTTTCGAGCGAAAGAGAGGGAGAGAAGGAGAAGGAGAAGAAGAAGAAGAAGAAGAAAATCTTGCACTAGCAGCAAGAGGAGAGCTTTTTAACATCTTCTTTTCGCGTGGCTGGTTAAACTCACTCGTTTGGAAGTCTTTTTCTCTGTAGTGTCGCTCGGAAAACACGGATCGCGCAAAATCTGCTTTGTCGGTTGTCCTGCACCAAAGAGACAGTTGAAGAACGAAAAAGAAGAAGAAGAAGAAGAAGTAGAAAGGAAGAAAGAAAGATATAAATCCGCATTATTATTATATATATAAGTCGTATCTCTGTAAACACACTCATAGGATAAAGGAAGGAGGAAAAAAAAGTGAAGAATAGACCAGTGGTGTTTTTCGAAAAACAAGATGAAAAACATATCGCGCTTGGCCATGTGCGCGTGTCCGTGTACATCCCTTATATAAGGTTACATAAGACGCGAATGAGTAGACACAATGTTTTGAATTCGAATATAGACGTTTTGAAAGGTTCAAAGTATTCGCTCGCAGATAAGATCCGGACGTGCATTTCATTTTATTAGAGAGTCCCTTTCTGCACAAAGTGAAAAGTATAACGAGACGTTCGAGTATTATGGAAATTATTAATAAGAATAAGTTGAAAAAAAGGGTTTGCAAGCTCAAACAAAGCATTGGCTTATTGGAATTGCAGATGACATTGGTACAATACCAAACTTTAATTGTTTAAAGGTTCATCGAATCTCTCAGTCATTTTAACTAAAATAACTATTTGAAAATCCTGAAAATTGCAGTTGCAAAGGAGCTAAAAAGAAATGGAAATTCCAAAAAATGCTCTTCAAAATTAAATTCTTTTCCTAGCTTCTGTGTGTACATTCTCTGATGAAATACCAGTCGCGCAAAAAAACAGTATCTATTTCGATACCCGCACGCACACCTCTTTTTATATCAAATTAACTCGATTCTTTTAATTCTTATATTTATCATCGAGCGCGAATCATCAACCGTCAATATTGACAATCAACGCGTATCATTATCGAATAAATATAAATTCGATGATCGATCACCCTTCCCCGATAATAATAAGTTTATTTGCTCGTCGTTGCGTCGCGGCGTCGTGATCGATTCGACCGAGACTCGGTCGCATTAAGCTCGTTAAAAATTATTACAATAAATTTCGCCTCGATTAATGCGTTTCAAGCCCCGCAATTGTTGCAATGCCGTATACGTACGCATACTTTTGACAATTTTCTGAACTATTTTGCATAACGTTAATTAGAATCCCCGGCGGTGTAGCATTCATCACTTGTTTTAATTAAAATGACGCGCTTTGTATTTGCGTTACAACTCGGTAGGAGAGAGATGGTCTCTCTCCCACTGCTGTACTGCTGCTATACTCTTTTGCTCTGTAGGTGTATGCAGAAGCGCCCGTATATCCGTATGCTCCAGCGCTTCGCGCGACCTCGCTCTCTGCGTCTTCCTTGCACACACACACACACGCACGTAGGTATTACGCACGTAAATACGTATCATCGTATTCTTTGGAACGAAGTTTCGAAATTAATATTATAAGCACACTGATACGCGCGATTTAAATTGTTTATACTCGCTCGCAAGCTCGTTCGGCGCGACTCGGGAATGCGAGCTTGCGAGCGCGCGTATAAGCAAATCGATACGATTCGACGATGGGACGTACATACGGGATATTTTAGACTGAAAAATTTATTGCCCGTATCTCTGACGGAAGGGGGGGAGGGGAAGGGAGAGGCTATATCCGTGTGACCCCTCCGTCTTTTTTTCTCATGGATGTAGAAAAAAAGAGCAGAAAAAAGAAAAAAAAGAGGGAATTGAAATCAATTTTAACTTGATTTGATAAATATGTCAAACCGTTACTGCTTGCGTGTCAATTCATTTGAGATTCAATCATCCTTTCTCTCACTCACTGGGAATGCCCCCGTGCTAAATCGTAAAAAAATGTCACATAGAGACGGAGAGAGCAGTGCAGCAGCACACACGCGTGGACGCGCGTTGCGCCGCGAGCATATGCATCCCCCTCAAAAAAAGAGAAAAAAAACTTTCGCAGACGAGGAGCCCCCTTTCCTTCCTCTCTCTCTCTCCGTACATATACACATACACTAATGTTTATCCTAGTTTCCGGGAAGTTTTTGCCCAAGAGCCTAGCCAGATGGAAGTGAGAGAGAGAGACGTAGAAGTGGTTATGCATTTTTCATTATGTATTTCATAGTAAAGGTTGCGAGTAAACGCGCGCGCGCACTAGTGCCTCTCTCGTGTATATGTACATCGTGCACTACTGCTGCGCGCGCGCGCGCGCGAGGATCGCGCAAAAGTTCAACGGAGTAATAATAAAAAGTTTTTTCACTTATCGAAGCGGTTAAAATTTTCCCAGAGCTTGTGTGTAATGTTATATATGAACAGCTCTCAGCTTTAACCCCCCCCCCCCCCCCCCTTACCCTCGACCGGCGTATACATATTGTGTCTGTGTGTATACACGAGAGATAACAAAGTTTATCGTATAATATTACGACTTTTACATTATACGAGCGTTGCGAGTCGAAGCGCAGGACAAAAAATATCATCGCCACCGCGCGCGTATATCCTGCTCCACCGTCGCCGAGCTTTCGGCGAATATTATCGTCAGCGTTTTTAAAACTTTTCGATGTAAAAGCGTATTTTAGACCGGACGGGGGAGCAGCGTCGTCGTCGTCGTCGATAGCTTTGCGCGCGACACCCCGCTCGATTTTCGAAAAAATAGTAGCTGCAGTAAAGTAGAAAAAAAAAGTATCATAATAAACTTGAAAAAATGATAAACTAACCGGAGATATTATTTATTTTCTGTTTCACGCACAGGTCGAATGGAGGCCGAGAAGGATGCAAACGAGGCTCAGCTTATGTGGGGCGCGTGCCAGTCCCTGGCCAGAGCCGTGAAGGCGGCGCCGCCCGGCACCAAACCTCAGGAGTCCCTGAGACCACTCGACGCGGAGATTCGATCCATTGTCAAGGCAGCTCGTAAGTATAATGCAATTTGATTATTCAATTTGTCTCTGATTGTTGCTTCTCGTTAAGACCCCTACCTACCCCACTCGAAGCCTTACGCCGCCGAGTGGTTTTCTTCTTGGATATAAAAACGAAAGTTTAATCTGGAAAAAATTATCATTTCGAAAAAAGCACTCTGACCTTTTGTCGTCGACGACGAGGACAATGTGTATTATTACGAGGCGCGCGGGAGACAGTAAAAAATTATTGTTCGCGAAGAGAGATGCGCCTCGCAGCACCTCACGGACAACGTTTCCGTTTACTCTCTCTTTCTCGCGCTCTCTGCCAGTTTCCTCGAGCCATTCGCGTGTAATTCATAAAAACACTTTCGCTCGGCTCGCTAGCGCGCGCACACCCTTATCAATTATTTTTCCGCCTCTGCTTTCGCGCGTAATTTTCGCTGCTGTTGCTGTTGCTGCTGTTGCTGCTATCGTCGCTGCTCTACCACCCCCCCCCCCCCCCGTATAAGAACGGTAAAAGACAACCAAGTATTTTCTGCCTAGTAATGTCTCTCGCTGCTGCTGCTGTTGGGAAACGAATAATAACGACGAAAGGCACCGAGAGTTGAGCGTTTTATAATATACTTTTAGTGCGCCGCGCGCGAGCATATTTACCGTCGCAGCGTGCCCAGCAGCTTTTCTTCTTCTCTACTTTTTTTTGTTGTATTTTTATGCGCGCGCGTGCTTATGATATTTGCGGCAGAGAAAAGAGAGAAAGAGAGAGAGACAATGGAATTACACATAGATGAAGCGATAAGAGAGAGGCGAGCGCAATTTAATTCGTGTGAAAAAATACGATACAAGTCGCGAGAAAAAGTGTCGTATCGCGCGTAAAGATTCTCTGATTTAAACGATATATAATGCTCCTTTGCGCCGAGTTTTGTGTACGACGAAGCACAGCTGCTGCCTCGCCATGTTTTTCGGTAACTTTAACGGTGAATTAAGAAATTTAAAAGCAGAGACAGAGCAGCGGCAGCTCGTCTCACTTTCTCGTCGACTCTCTCTCTCTCTCTCTCTCTCTCACTATGCTATACCCATGAGATTTTTCCACTCAAAATTTTGCCCGAAATTTTCCAGCTGAAAAAGACGCCTTCGTGCAAGCTACGATCAAGGGAATCCCCGAGGAGGCCGTAAAGCGCGGAGTCTATCCCGAAGACGCGCTCAGGGAGAGGTTCATAAAGGTACGTACATATACATATAATACGGAAATTTTTAATGCGATTCCGTTGAACGTCGAAAAACAAAAAAGAATTAAAAATTACGCTTCAATCATCAACTTTCGTAATACGCATTGCGCCGCTCATTATGTTGTGATTATGCCACGCACTTCTCTCGCGTGTATATAAATACAAAAGTTTTCTAAAACTCGCGACGACGACGCGCCGCTACGCACTTTGTGCGCCGCTGCGGGAGCTTTTGCTCATCAAGCATTACACGCGCTATAACTTATCAAGTCTTCTCTTCTCTCTCTCTCGGCGCTTCATGAAATATTCAGATTTCAATCGTTTGTAATTTCGGGCCGAAAACGAGCGCGGGGCTGTGCTGCCGCTCTCCGGGTGCCTGTGTGCGCGCCGCCGCCGTAGGAAAATTATTATTGATTCTGCAGCGGGCGGCTCCTGTACTGGATTAAAAGCCGCTATATATGGGATTATGAGGCTGCGTTGCTGCTGCCGCTGCTGCTGCTCCACGGCCGGCTAAATACATATGTACTAATTTGCCAGGGCCTGATTTATGCAAAAGCTCATTTGAATATAATACTATATACGCGGATGCAGATGAGATTTCTACTTTCGCCGGGGATATAACAAACACGCGCGCGCGAGGAGGGCTATATTATCACAATGAAATTTTAAATCACTCGAGCAGCAGGGAGCGTAACGTCAATTTCACTTTCGTTATAATTGAAAGCTCGAAATTATAATCGATCCTGCTGCTGTTGCTGTATGCGTAATGCCGCTGTTATACGTTTCGCGGCGGCGGCGTCGGCTGCTACAAAGCTCCGCGGGATTTGCGCTATTTACAATAGTTATTACGGGCATTACTCGCGCTAGAAAATATAATATATCGCTTAGTTCGTAACGGTGGAAAATGAATTTCAAATTCCGAATTATACGCTCTCGGCTGCGTATTACGTATAATGATGTTTATTTTATTTTTTTCATTTTTCCGATCCACAGGTGGAGCAAATGGCCCGTAAGCTGGCCCTGGTGCCGGAGGAGGGCGCCTCGCTGCCCATCTACCTGCTCAGCTATCTGCAGAGCTTCCTGCTGGTCAAGGCGGTCAGTCCCATTCCCAAGCACGAGCTGGACGATCAGCCGATCGACGCCGAGTCCCTCAACACCTACGAGGTGCTGCAGCGAGCCAGGTAAAGTGGCGATGCAATTTTTTGCAGCTCTTAACGGGGGGAGGGGGGAGTCACGTACGGAATTTTTCCGTGATAGGGATTACATACGTCTCTCTTTTGCGGCGGAGAAGGAGGAGGAATAAAAAGGAAGCTTTTCTACTTCTGACGCGCGATAAAGTACATAGTAGTAGTAGTAGTAGTAGTAGTAGTTGAGAAACGCCGAGGAGATGCTCCGCATATAGAGAGGTTTGCCACTGCTGCCGATCAATGAAAATCGTACTTTTATTATACAGTTACACGGTCGCGTTTCAGCAACCGTAACCGATGTTTTTTCCCCCACCTTTTTTTTGATATTTGTACATCTTTATATCTCACGACCATTCGTTCGCTACGCAACAACAACAATAACAGCGGCAAAAAAAAAAAAAGATCTCAAATCATGCAAGCGAAAGAGGGAGAAAAAAACCACCTCAAGATGGATGCAGCGCCACTACTACTACTACTGGAAATGGCACTTCGTTAAGCCTTCGGATGCGCGCGCGTAAAATGTATGATACATGCACGCGTGCACCCCGACTTTACATATATCATAGGTAAACGCCTGGTGAATACTTGGTTGCCGAGCTGCGGAGCTCTAGGAGAGAGAAAAAAAATGAGGACAACGTATCCGCGTGCAGGAATCGTCGTCGTCGTCGTAAAATTCATTCTGTATGTATGTGCGTGTGTGTGTGTGTGTGTGCGAAACCCGTCGAATGCGAGCAAGAAGAGGGCGTGAGAGGGAAGGAAACTTTAGTTCTCTGCGGAGCGGAGCTTACATATATACAGCAGGAACGATGACGACATCGACGACAATGACGACGACGACGACTTTCTATAATGTTTTCTCATCTCTCTCTCGCAAGTTTTGTTCTATTTTTGCCTCTTCAAGAGAGCCACATATATATAAGGCTTCGTTCGCTGCATCTATTCCATGCGGCTGGATACTTTTTTTCAGCCTTACGAATGCTACCTTACTACTACTACTACTACTCGTTGCTCGTTGCTCGTTGCCAGGATTATTGTTTCGGTATATAGTTTAATACTTTTTAAAGCTCACGGGTCGTATTAGAGAGGTAGAAAAAAAGCTCTTGGCCTTTTTGCGTTTATGTACGTGTGTGTGTGCTTGCGGGGGAGGACGACTCGGTTAGATTTCCAAGAAGTCGTACAGTCGCGGGGGCCACTACGCGTCTTTTCCTTAATGTAGATTATTCGCCTGTTAAACATTTCGAACAAGTTTTTATCGACGTCATTACGCGCGTAAAAAAGTTCTCCCGCTCGGCGCCATCCACGAGCTTTTTTTCCCAGTTTGTGTGTATCAATTTATTCGGTCGGCGAACGAGAGGACTTCTCTCTTTCTTTCTTTTTCGGCCCGATTGATTTATTAGCCGCAAATGTTCCTTCTCGCATAAAAATGATATATAAAAGCGGTCGAGTTGGCAATTTCGGCCCTTGATTATTACCCGCAAATATGTATTTTTAAAGACCCGACGATTCTCCATCGATGTTAGAGATTCCATCCATCGCTATCTCGGATTCGATATCGTCGTAACGGCGAAAATATAGTCTCCTTATTTACGCGCGTGCGCGTCGCGAGCGACGCTTTACTTAACTGTTTTCGCTTTTTCGAGCCCATCGTGCGGCGGCGGTGCTGCTGGTGGTGGTGCTCTCTCTCTCTTCGTGATTTATAGGCTCGCGACGGCGATATTGTCCTCCTCCTCCCATCCTCGCGGCACGCAAGAAGTATGGTATAAGGTGCAAGGAAGCCAAGGCGGTAATGTATATAGCTCTCGAGATTTTCTTCGCCAGTGATTTCTCATTTTCCGATTTTACCCGCAAACTTATCGAAGCGTGGCATTTTTCCTTCGGCGGCAATATAATATCCTTAATTGAGATCGTCAAAGTTGGATCGTTATCTCTAGCGGCGGAGAAGGTGCGAGAGTAAATATATTCGAGTCGTTTCGGCTCTCGAATTTGAATGTACGATTTTGCGCCGCGAGAGATATTTAACGAGCGATAATCGATAATCAATAATGTAAAATATGTGGTGTTCCCTCTTTTGCAGGTACTGGCTTGACCGCGGCGACTTCAAAATGACGTTACGCTACATGAATCTTCTCAAAGGAGCGCCTCGCAGCGTCGCCCGAGATTGGATGAACGAGGCGCGAATATTGCTCGAGACGCAGCAGGCCATCGAGTCGCTCGTCGCCTACGCCGGTGCCAACAGTCTCGTGTTCATGGGCGGCGGCGAGAACAGCGACAAGAAGAAATAAATGCCCGAGAAAATAAAGAGAGAAGCATGAAAAAAAAAAGTGCAAAAAACACGCAAACACACCAATGGAACATTTGTACATTCAAAGAGAAAAAAAAAAAAGACAAAAAATTTGTTACACAATGATCGGATATTTATTTTTTTTTTAATCGAAACAACTGCTGCTGATTATTATGATAAAAATGTCACTCTTTCGCGAATAAATATGCGATCGTTTTGTCGTGCATCGATGAGCAACATTCTCGAATCTATTTATTATTAAAAAAAAATTTACCGACGACGGTTGAAAATTGTTTTGTAGGTGCGCGTAGAGCGCGCTTCGAATTGTCATCTAGTTTACTTAGAATTAAGTAAATGTTGTATCGAATGTAATTAACAGAATTTTTAGTAGATATATTTACATTGTCCAACAAGATTGTCGGTGATTATTTTACATCTCTAAAGACCTGCCATCTATTTTCTCTATATAATCTCATTTTTTTGCCTTTTAGGAAAGCGAAACAAGATTATTCGCGACGCAATGGTAATCATCATCCCTATATCTGTATATACGAGTGCTCTCACTTTTTTTTTCTAATGCAATCCATCACATTTATTTGTCACGAAAAAGGCATTCAGCATTACCCTCACATTTTGGAATTTATTAGTTGCAATAATCGTTATCTATAATTCATTTCTTTTTTGTTCCTCGCGCACTGATTTTTTTGTCAATGTAAATCAATTCATAAACCGAGTGTATTTCGTTACTCGCGCTACGCATGGAAAAAAATTCAGAGTAAATCTCGGTTAATTTTTTTAGATCCGCAACGCGCCACAACGACGAACAGCAGCAGCTCGCACTCGTGTGCATTTTTACGAGAAATTCATTACACGATCGCGCACGAATTTTTGTTGATTGATTAACGAAAACGAACGCGGCAATTAATTGCCGCGTTCGTTTCGAGCGTATTTTTCGTCATCGGGGAAAAAACGAAGGTGTGGGTATATAGCAGCGTTGCGTTGCATTGCATAAATTGCGCCCCATGAGCAGCACCACTGCTGCTGCGTGGCCAAAGTATTCGGGACTAAAAGTGCTGCAGCACACGGCCGGAGAAAAAAAAAGGTAGAAAGTAAAGACAATGAGAGAGGCAACGGTGGCAAAAGTAACTGCAGGAGTTGTTTGATTTACGAGCCTGGTAAGCGCCCTTCTACGTGTATACATATACTGTATACATACACGGGTACGCGCGTGCAGTACGTTCGAAGCAATTTCGGCAACCAACGGAAACCTAAAGCGTGTGTACAGCAGCAGCAGCAGCTCACCGAAGTCGAGGCGTGCAACAAAACGACAATGGTCATTTCGACTAGCTTTCGCTGCACTAAACAGTATATATCTGGTATGTAGCTCTCTGGTGGAATAGAAAGAAGAGAGAGAGAAAAAAAAAGAAGTGGCGCAAACCGAAGCATTTTGAGACAGCACACGGGCACGAGCCGCCAGGCAGAGGCCCATCGACTTTTACAAGGCTGCTGCTGCTGCGAAGTAACTTGTGCCGGGAATCATGTACTAGCTGTTGTAGCAGAGAAACAGCTCTCAACCCAAGTACACGAGTTTAGGAAAAAGTTTCCCTCGCCTTTCTCTCTCTCTCTCTCGCTGCTGCTATTTTATTCTTTTTTGCGGGGTGCGCGTGTGTGCGCTGGTTAATTTTTTCATTATCGTGTAAAAATCGATGAGATTCAATTACATCGCTTGTCAAAATTCAGAATGAGTATTTTATGATTTTTCCCCAGCAGTCGCGTCAAAGATATCAATTTGGCTGGCGAAAAAAGTTCATTCGACAAAGTGTAACGACAACGAGGATTGGGAGGAGGGAGGAGAGGAGGCTTCTGCGCTCGTCGCATCGCGAGCTGCAGCACACGATTCCCCGCTTTCTTCTTGCGAGTCGAGGCTTTTACGTTATCGTCAATATTTTGCAGTGCACTTTGTCCATCTCGTTCGTATATATATACGTAAACGATATACATGAGCGATTCTATGAAAAGCCTTGAAAATTCGAGGATAAGCTCGGGATTTAAATTTTTCGTCCTTGAGTTCAAAAATAATTATGGATAAAGTACCTGTTCTAATTATTGTTTTTCACGTATAATTTTTGACATTTCAATGAACAGTTATCAACGTTTATTGTACGCGGCAAGAGACAACAATTGCAATCATGAGTCTAGTCTTATATTTTAAGAATTTTATATAGAATTACTCAAGTAAGTAAACTTATTAAAATTACTCATGTATTCTCGAATTAAAACATGACACGAGCATTTTTCGCAAAATCTATACTAGCTGAAGGTATACTCATTTCAAGTGCACCACAACTGTGTATGGACCTGCTGACAGTAGAGGGGGAAAGTTTTGTTACAGAGTTATCAGAGTCACGAGATCACCTCGCTAATTTAATCAACGCGACTATGTTCATTCGGTCGTGAGAAACTGAGCTCCACAGACCACAACGCATAAGTTTTATAAAAAGCGAAATACATCTACATAATAGAGTACACGTCTTTACTTGCCAATTGAGGTGCAGAGTTAGCTACTCCAGGTACATAACCTTAAATATTTTCGCAGTGTATATCGTGAAAAATTACAGTGAAAACATACGAGCGAGCGAGTGATGGAAAGCAACGCTGGCGTAGTTAGGTAAAAATTTTTTTGTCTTATTCTGTTACCATAATTTTTTAAGCGATTCTTTATGAAATTCGATAATTCTTCAGAGTAAAGGAAGAACCGAACGATACTTTGATAGACCCAGGAGACGATTATGTTATCGATTCGGTGGACTCTTGCCAAATCGAAAACTCTGAAACATCGCCCTTTCATGAATCATCGGTAAGTTTATGATTACAATTATATTCTGTCCACCGACTAGTAGAAACTAGCCCCTAATTTTTATTTTAGACAAAACGTACGAGTGGGGCTGCTGTGTCTAAAGAGAGGTTAGGGGAAAAAATATTTATCGATTTTGAGTGTAAGGATGTCAAAGTCAAGCTGCCGTCTCTATCGACAACCATCTGCAAATCTGAGTATCCAAATATTCAATCTGTAATAAAAAAAGAAAACCAGAATCACACTATTTGCAAGTCTGAGAATGAAAGTTGTTATAATGAAAATCCGACCAAGAACATAAATGGAAAAAATCTGACAATTTTGATAAAAAAAGAATTTAATTATGATAATAATTGTCAATTCAACTCCGATTTGAGACTTGCCAAGTATGAAAACCTAAAAAGTTGTGAACCAGCTGCTGCAGATGAATCATTGAATAAGTCAAAATATATCTGCCAAAAACCTTTTAAATGTAATAGTTGGCACAAATTATTTAAAGAAAAAAGTCACCTTAAAACTCACATAATTAAAGTACATGATCCTAGCAAATGGTTTGAGCGTGACATTTGTCAAAAATCATTTGGACGCAAGGATACCCTTCAACCTCACATAAATGTAGTACATGGTCGAAACAAACCCTTCGAATGTGAGATTTGTCACAAATCATTTGGTTACAAGGGTAATCTCAAGAAACACATAAATAGAATGCATTATCGGAGCAAACGTTTCGTATGTGACATTTGTTGCAAATCCTTTGGAGAAAAGTCTTACCTCAAAATACACATAAATGTAATACATGATAAGATTAAACCCTTTGAATGTGAGATTTGTCACAAATCATTTGGACAAAAACCACACCTCAAAAAACACATAAATGTAATACATGATAAGATAAAACCCTTCGAATGTGAGATTTGTCACAAATCCTTTGGAGAAAAGGGTATTCTGAATCGTCACATAAATGCAGTACATAATCAGATCAAACCCTCTGAATGTGAGATTTGTCACAAATCTTTTGGAGAAAAGGGTTCCCTTAAAAAACACATAAATGGTGTACATGATAAGATTAAACCCTTCGAATGTGAGATTTGTCACAAATCTTTTGGAGAAAAGGGTTCCCTTAAAAAACACATAAATGTAATGCATGATAAGATTAAACCCTTCAAATGTGAGATTTGTCACAAATCATTTGGTTACAAGGGTGATCTCAAGAAACACATAAATGGTGTACATGATCGTATTAAACGCTTTGAATGTAATATTTGTCACAAATCATTTGGATACCAAAAGCATTTCAAACGACACGTAATGAAGTTCCATAATCGAAGCTAACCCCTTGAATGTGAAATTTGTCACAAATTATTTGAATGTCATCTGTTACAACTCATATAGTTATAAAAATAATGCGAAGGTTCACATAAATTCAGTTTTTGATCGTAGAAAATATTTTGTTGAATGAGATTTGTCGCGAGAGATGTCACAATAACTCCAAATTTTCATGCGTATCATAATGTTTGACAGTTTGTGATATTTTTCTATAGTTTTTTGAAAAAATATCAAAGTTATATAGTTATCAGTTTTGTCATGAGTATGAATAACTTTACCCTATTTTTTATACACAAACTAATACATATATCAAATAACATGTCTCGAATGAACTTTGTTTTATTTATTTTAATCTTTTCAAATCCAGTCCAATTCCCAAATTCCCCAAATTCCCCAAGTGTTCCAAAATATTCTACCTAAATGCAAACATATTATGTGTAATCGATTATAAAATCGTTTCATTGCATAACATTTTTTCGTTAAGTTGATGCTTGTCAAGTTAAAAGCAATTGAATTGTGTATTAATAGTCCCCTTTTTGCCAAATCATACACCAAATTAAATGCCATTTTCTCGAACTCATCTAGTGGATGTCACAAAGTCGATAAGAGAATCCGAGAAAAATGTTGAAATAGATAAATAGCTTTAGACAAAATACCTATGAAAATTTTGATTGTTCGCGCCCGCGTGTTTCTGGGATCTCAATTAACAATTATCAACATCCTCGTTACACGCGTCAATTTCGATTTTATCCTCGAATTTAAAGGATTTTTTTTACAATAGAATTGCTCATATACAGAGTTGCGCACTTTCAAAGAGCATTAATCAAGCCGTGCACAACGCTTATACGTACGAATATATAAAAAAAAGCTTCCCAGTATCTATCTTTATTTCGTGCCTGCATACAGTATATACAGAGGCAAGCGCACGTAAGGTATAAAAGTGATCGACGTGCAGCAGGAGCCGCGCTCGTTCAGCTGCGACGAGCTTCGTTGTAAAGCTTCGCTCTCTCTCTCTTGCATCTATCGCGCAAAACTGCTTTTCTCGATTCTATATACCCCTCTCGCGGGCTTCACTTTCTTTTTTTTCTGCTTCCGAACGTCTTGCCCTCTCTCTCTCTCTCCTGCGCTTATATAAGCTTCATTTTTCACCTTAATGACGTATTATTATAGCTTCATACACTGTGCTCTCCAACTCTCGCGCGTTACACTCCGCTTCGAGGATCGAGCCGCGGAGCACTTCAAAGAATAATAGCTCTCCGCAGCGGGTGTACGAGATAAACACGCTTAGTGCGCGCCTTTTTTTGGATTACGTAAGGCGCTGTGTGATCGTGTGCGCCGCTGCTATAACTGCCATAAGCGCACACGTTATTATCGATCGGCACGGCTCGGCGCATATACTCTCGACAACAAACTTGACGGAAAATTAATTTAAACTCCCGCGCGCGCGTGTATACGATATGTGCGCGCATTTTTTTGCATACGATATACACGAACTTTTTCATTATCTCGAGGCAATGCGACGCGCGCGAGCGACTCCAGCCGCTGCGCTGCCTTTTTTTTCTCTGTCTCTCTCTCTCTCTCTCCGGCGAATCCAGACGTTTTGGTAAATGGGCTAAATTTAATTCCGCTCGTATAGCGGAGCAGTGCATGTTTATATAACAATAATGGCAATGATAATCTTTCTCGAGAGCAATTCTCCCAGTTTTGTTTGTTTTTTGTGTATATTATATACAATAACGGCCGCGAGTCACAGAATCAAGCAATTCCAAAGTGAATATTATTATACTCCCACGCGCCTGCGGGAAAAAGGCAATAAAAACGAACGCGCTGTACAAGGAAGAAAGAGAGACCTTATAATGCGAGTATACATTTTGTCAAGACTTTTACGACGTTATGCGAGCAGTCACCTTGTTTTCGTTCTTTCACGCGCGTGTGTGTGTGTGCGATAATGGTCCGACAATTTGAATGATCCGGCTCAATTGATTACGATGACGGCGGTATAGAGGAACTATCCGGAGAAAATATGAGCTTTTGCGGATGATTAAGTCATGCATATTTTTTCCTTTCTATTGTTCTCTCTTGAGAAAGAGTGATATGTTGAACTTTTCCAATTACGCTTCAGTATAAATTTTTTTTTTTCAATATAATGTTTATATTTTTAATGTGTATAACCATGATTTTGATCTCCACGAGGCACCGTAGTAATGAATGCGCAATTTGAAATCTTTTACTTCATATGATTGTGTGCTTATCGATAAAAAAAACTCAAAACTGTTTGTTTTTCAAATTTATTTACTCGCATAATTTGCATCATATTGAAAATATGCAATATTGAGTAAAATTAGACATAAAAAAATACGGCAAATATGCGAATTGCTCACCACACAATTTGTAATCTTTGCGGAGGTTTAACAGTTCTTTTGGATCTTTTTACATTGCATTCTATTTTATCAGGTATGTTCTTTTTTACAATATTTTTTTGCTCGTTGTCCTGACGACTTGGATTCTTAATCGCCAAGCAAATACTGACTAGATCTTCGATCATTAAATGCACGAAGATTTGTGTGCAGCACTCGATTGGCAATCGGTAGCCTATCAGCTCGCAGAAAGAGTTCAGCGCCCAAGCTCGGCAAAAACCCCACGATAGTCTCTCGCACAGATGCTCGCAACAAGTATCCCTGAGCTTCGTTGGTAGCTTGTTTGCCGAGTGCGAGCTCGCGAACACGAAGTAGTGCCCGTTAGTGACCATTTTGTCGGCCAGCTCTGCGGGTCGCGACCAGATTAAATCGTACACCGACAGATTTGGACGTATTATCGAGTCGCTCGCGACGATGGCTAACTCCCTGTCGATGAATGGAAATGCCCTCGATTTCTTCGATGTCTTGAGCATTCCGCGTTTCAAGAAAAATTTTATGATTTCTTGGGCGTCGCTTAGGTCTAGTTTGTACCCTCTGTCCTCGAGACGTTCGACGACCACCAAAATACCAGATGCTAGTAGCATGTTAGGATTATCATGTTGAACGGGGACGCAGTTTTCAGCGATGTAATTCTCAGTGGGAAACACGAAGCTAGACAGATCGGCTCCACGACTTATAAGTACATCGATCGTATTTAGTAATAAATTCGCCACGGCCAATTGAAGCGGCGTCCTACCCAACTTGTCCCGGGCGTTGACCTCGACCAGCTGATCTTTTTCGTCGTTGATCTGGAAGAATAGATCCACCAAGTGGTCATCGACCTTGAATTTACTGCAAATCACGTGCAAAGGTGTCCGTCCAATCGCGTCGGCCAAATTCTGATCAGCACCTCTTCTCAGCAGCAATTCGACCAACGTCTTTCTGCCGCGGTCCAGAGCCAAAAATGCAACGGCGACTCGCCCGTTTTTGGCCACAGGCAGTTTGGATCCTGCTCTAGCTCGAGAAACTTCTTGGCGATTTCTTCGCAGTCGTGCATGCAGGCCACGTGAAAATGCGTCAAACCAGATTCGTCCCTGTAATTCACGTCGAACCTGTCGTAAATTTTAAACAGTGCCTTGATCAGGCTCGAGTCGAGTGAATTAGCCGCGCGATGGACTGGTGTGGTGCGATTCAAAAGTGGATTGCTGTCTTCGTCAACGTCGGGCTGGTCCTTGTAGCCGGTCTGGACCAAGAACATAACGAATCGTAATCCTTGAATTGAACGATAGGAAAGTAAGTAATCTGGTACGGTATCCGAGAGAAGTTGTTCAATTTCTTCGCGCCGAAAAATGTCTCGTAGGTCTGGAAGTTGGCCATCCCAAGTTCTGACCAATAATGGATACATTTGGTGGAAAAATGCATATCTCTCTCCTTCCGACTCCCAATTTACCGCTGCACTCATTTTTTTTAATTCGATCAAACATCTTTGATCGTCTTGGGCCATGGTTGAGTACGCGCGCAATTGAACGTTTTATAAAATTTTCACTTGTCGCATGAAAATCACTTGCTGAGCACTCGATTCGATTTTGCTCTACTGTTTAACGACGTCGTAACGTATACTGACTATATTTGTGTAAGTTCAAAGCTAAATTTCTCTCATGCGTAAGTAAATTGTGCGCCTGAGTGAATGGCAATTTTATCGCAAATCATGCTCAGTTTTAACGGAATAGTCCCCCTATAGCGTACAGCCAATCGAAAGCAGTGGGGGAACGTATCGCCAAGGAGCTGTGGCAATAGTCAGTAGTACGTGCCTACAATCACTATAGCGAAGAGCTAAATTCCTGCAGTGAACAAGTGTTTACGAATTGGCGAAATCGAGGTTACGGTGAGGTTATTTTCTCAGCGTATACATTGTGGTGCAAGTTCACAGAAATTGCATATAATCCAGCGAGTGATGGAGAACGCAGAGAACGCAATCAGGTAAAACATTTATTTTTACATGTCGTGATATTTTTTGAAGCAATAACTTTATCATTTTCGACTATTATTCAGGGTGAAGCAGGAGCCGAAGGACGATTTGGACGACGATTACGTTTTAGACTCGGTGGACTCTGGTGAGGTTAAAAATGTTGAAACATTCACGTTTGATAACACATCGGTAGGTTGATTAAATTTAATGTACTTCTAGTTGTCTACTATAAAAAATTATTATTAAATTTTAATTTTAGGCAAATCAAATGAATGAGATTGTGGCATTTCCGAAAAAATTAAATGAGAAAATATCCGTAGTTTTTGAGTGCAAAGATGTTAAACTTGAACTGAAACCATTATCGACGAACACCTGCAAAACCGAGTATCAAAGTTATCCACCTATTGCAAAAGTAGAGAATCCAATTCAGATCAGTTACCTGAATGAATATAAGAAGGCTACAATATTTGGAAACGGTACTGAAGCAATATTATCTTATGAGTGCAAAATTTGTCGAAAAACGTATAAAAGAGAAGTTGCTCTTAGAAGTCATATCAATTTGATACACAAGACCAATAGATCACATGAATATGCGATTGATCAAAAATCATTTAGACGAAAAGAACGTCTTAAAATTCACACAAATGCAGTACACGATCGGAGCAAACCTTTCGAGTGTGATGTTTGTCACAATTCATTTGGACGAAAAGGTCACCTCAATGTTCACATAAATACAGTACATGATCGTATCAAACCCTTCGAATGTGATATTTGCCATAAGTCATTCAGTCGTGAATATTACCTAAAAAATCACATAAATACAGTACATTATCGGAGCAAACCCTTTGAGTGTGATATTTGTCACAAATCATTTGGAGAAAAAGGTCACCTCAATGTTCACATAAATACAGTACATTATCGGAGCAAACCCTTTGAGTGTGATATTTGTCACAAATCATTTGGAGAAAAAGGTCGCCTCAATGTTCACATAAATACAGTACATTATCGGAGCAAACCCTTTGAGTGTGATATTTGTCACAAATCATTTGGAGAAAAAGGTCACCTCAATGTTCACATAAAATCAGTACATGATCGTATCAAACCTTTTGAATGTGAGATTTGTTATAAATCATTTGGACAAAAACATGATCTCAAAATTCACATAAATACAGTACATTATAGGAGTAAACCCTTCGAATGTGAGATTTGTCACAAATCCTTTGGAGCAAAGGGTACTCTGAATCATCACATAAATGCAGTACATAATCAGATCAAACCCTTTGAATGTGAGATTTGTCACAATTCATTTGGTTACAAGGGTGATCTCAAGAAACACATAAATGGTGTACATGATCGTATTAAGCCCTTCGAATGTGAGATTTGTCACAAATCCTTTGGAGAAAAGGGTATTCTGAATCATCACATAAATGCAGTACATAATCGTATCAAACCCTTTGAATGTGAGATTTGTCACAAATCATTTGGAAAAAAGAGTCACCTCAAAAAACACGTAAATGGTGTACATGATCGTATTAAGCCCTTCGAATGTGAGATTTGTCACAAATCCTTTGGAGAAAAGGGTATTCTGAATCATCACATAAATGCAGTACATAATCGTATCAAACCCTTTGAATGTGAGATTTGTCACAAATCATTTGGAAAAAAGAGTCACCTCAAAAAACACGTAAATGTAATGCATGATAAGATGAAACCCTTCGAATGTGAGATTTGTCACAAATCCTTTGGAGAAAAAGGTACTCTGAATCATCACATAAATGCAGTACATAATCAGATCAAACCCTTCGAGTGTAGCATTTGTCACAATTCATTTGGTTACAAGGGTGATCTCAAGAAACACATAAATGGTGTACATGATCGTATTAAACCCTTTTAATGTGATATTTGTCACAAATCATTTGGACATAAACCAAACCTCAATAGACACGTAAGTGCAGTACATGATCGGAGCAAACCCTTGGAATGTAAGATTTGTCACAAATTATTTGAAAGGAAAAGTGATCTTAACCTCCACGTGAATGCAGTACACAATCAAAGCAAATTATATTAATGCAATATTTGTCACAAATTATTTGGACAAAAAATTAATCTGAAAGCTATGATGAAGATAGATAATCGAAGCAAACTCTAGAACCGGGAGATTTGTCTGGAAACATTTGGACGCAGTGAATACTTCATCACTCATATGAGTAAACTATGTAATTTTTGAAAATCTTAAATTTCAATATTTATTCATTTTACAAAGAAAAATAAAATATTTCAACCTGTTACTTTTTCTGTTATGATTATCGTTGTATATCAACTCAAATTACAGTCCGTCCTTAAAAGTATAATCGAATCGACCTTTCAAGGTTCCTAAAATTAGACCTTTTTCAAAACTCCAACTACTTATCGGTATCCTAGTAGAAAACCCTTACTTTGAACTATTTATAAATTTCCAAGTTTACCCCTTCAACTGATTTCTATATACAAGCTGCGAGTATTGACAATTCAGCTCGTCGAATGCAAAGTATAATATGAAATGATGGAAAGATACTATTTTGCAATTATCGTTTGACTTCGATCTATTAAGTGTTCTTAGACTAATTCTAAGATTTTTTTATTTTTTCCTTCAAGTCGTTCTCCTTTTCGAGCTGGAAAATCGTAAAGATTAAAAAGGTGTTTTTTTATGCTAAAAATGTTCAGATAACGTTTTTCAACGTCTTTCATCGTCGCATTTATAATTCTGGCGAATTGTTATCTCTAAAATGAACAAAATTGTTTAATTGAAATGTTAATTATCCAAATTTATGAAATAATTTATTATAAGATTACGACGCGCGGGTTCAGCCATTATTTATTCATAATCCTGCTTAAAATAAGCTTATCTAATGAGCTGATTAGTCGAAAGCTTTGTTGAAAATGTTCTCCGCCAAAAACTAAATGCCACCAACTGGAAATTCAACATTGCTCTTTGAAATTCTAAGTACCTGCATGAAGCATCGATCGAATTGTATCATCAACGCGACTGTAATATTTTTTCTGCCTCTAAATTCCCAATCCGCTAATTTCCGCGTGGAACAAACGATTGTGTATAAGCCTCGTTGTTTTTTCTTTCTATTCTCGCGAACTAATGCATCGAACGTGCGTACAGACGCGCGCGCTGCATAAACGCGTGCGGGGGGCCCACCGCAGATTCAGTACGACGATCGTAATCGAAGCAAATAATAGCTGGTATAAACGCGCGTACGTATAGCGGGAGAGTAGCGATTTCCACATTGATACGCGACGGCGGCGGCGTATAGCAGCGCGAGTTTGAAAATCACGAGCCGAGGATAAAAGGATTATGCGAGAGTGAGAGAGAGGCAGTTAAAGCTTCGGCTTTCTCTCGCTCACTCGCTCACGGGCTAGGTATACGCATTACGAGAGTCAGCTAGACTAAAACACACTCTGATGTAAAGCGGCGCTAATACGATTTTTTCTGTTTTTTTGGGGAGGAGGGAAAGTGGCAAAAGTGATCGAACGATCGGCGAGGGATAATTCGACGCGGCTAAACCTGTATCCGGGCTATATATATAGGTAAAACTACTCGGTCCGCGCGACGGATGCGCTTAAATCAGTCAAGCCCCTCGTTCTCATGGTGGAATAGAAGTAGCAGATAGCTAATACCGGTACATTACGTGTATCAATGAATCCGAAAAGAAATAATTGACTCGCTCGATGCGGATGTACAGAAGCTCGCGCAAGAGAGAGAGATTAAGCTCTTGTATCACGAAAACTCGGCTTCCTCGCTCCCCTTTTATTTTTTTCGGTATAGAGCTGCTGCGCTGCATTTTTGCATTATCAGCTCGCCGAAGGGATCCTCTATCCTATATAACGCCGCGCCGTAATGGTATATACAGAGCCGTGTCAGAAACAGGCGCGCCTCGATTGCTGCATGGCTGCTGCTGTTCCGAGGACGACGACGACGAGCTGCCATTGTCTGCTGCGCCGCCCATGTTATTACGGGAAATAGCCCACGCGCGTGTTTAGATAACGTGCGTAGGTAGTTACGTATTATACAGGGTTGACTTAACGTCGTCGACGATTACGATTGCCTTTATGTATATATGCGTGCAGCAGCATGAGTATAGTTGTTGTACAGCAGCGGGACGAGTGCGAGGGAGCTGAAAAATATTCACGGCTCGTTTACTGTACTGGTATATAGGGGTAGGGGTCACCAGTTTAGGCTGCACGCGCCCGTCGACGATTAAACATTCAACCTATGTGTACACGCGATGGGATTCGCGTTTCGTATTAAAGAGACGGGACGACGACGACGACGAGGCCATTGGCACACACCTTATATAAGCACCTCATTTTCAACGTAACGCGAGCGCGTCCGCCAACTTTGGACAAGGTCATTTGGGCCCCCCGAGAGGCAGCAGCAGTAGTAGTAGTAGTAGTAGTAATGGCAGTAGTAGAAGCACATATAGTAGTATATACCAGCGTCTATACCGACCCGAGACTCGGAGTTATATTGCCGCGCGTGCAGCGGGGCAAGTGCACGGAATCTAAAATCAATTCATAGCCGAGCTGCTTGGCCAAGCGAGGCGGCGACGACGACGACGACGGTGGTGGCACACTGCACACGTGTTTACGAGGCGCTAATGACGCTATATACCCGCCTCCTCGCTCGCTCTATCTCTGGGATTAATACCCCCTTGCAGTAACAGCAGCAGCCCACACACGTACGACGTGCAGTACTATAACGCGTAGACGTGTGGGTGTTATACTGCAGCAGAGTATACCACACGCGCGAGTATAGAGGTAACGTACGCGCGGCGGCTTATACCGTTCGAAAACTTATTGACATTCACGATGAGGCGCGATCCAAACTTGTAAATGCGTGACGACGCCGTCGAGGCGGCGGCGGCGGCCGCTCGCATACGTATATATAACATACTTCGCGTATATATTATATAATAATATCGCAAAAGTTTTTCAGTCATATTCAATACACGCGCAGTGGTGGAAGAAGAAGAAAAAAAACTCGTATAAATACTAATGATTATCGATGGCTTTTCTTATCTTCGAGCGAGAGAGATGGCCGAGAACTCGAAAATTTTTTCGAGCATATATCATGCGTATGTATATGCAGGCTGTCGGGAATACAAAATCATGAATTTCGATCTTTATATAAACACATCTCTCGAGGCCAAATAGATCGAGCGCGCCGCTATAAATGTATCGGATGCACTTTTGCAGTTGGTCATATTTTGGAAAAATGAATATCGACACGAGGTTGGCGGCGCGCGCGGAGTATTAAGGCTGGCGCTGGTGCTGGCGCTGGTGGATGGGATCAAGTTTTGAACGACCTACATATGCCAAATACATTTTCAGCGCCCGAGAGGCTAAAGGTAAAATGACTTTTTCAGTATATAAAGTTCGCGTTTTCTAGATATATGTATATACGTACACATATTATATATATATATATAACACGAGGCTTGCTTGTACTTGGGCGCATGCGGCACAGACATTTTTCAGCTGCATAAGTCTGAGAGAGAAAGAGAGAGAGAGAAAGTACATTACTCGCCAGTTTGCTTTTAATGCGTTGCTGCTGCCCTCGCTACTGCTGCTAGCTACTACTACTCCCTTCTTTTGCCGCGCGCACGCGAGGGCGGAGGGCGGAGGGCTCGAGCTTTTTGAAGACCTCGACACGGAGTTTAATGGACGCGCGCGCGGCGTGGCAGCACCGCAAAAGTCTTTGAATACACTTTTCCTGTGTGTTACATTGAGTGACACAAAAACTCTCTCGCTCGCCTATTATATATATATATCTATACATTATACTTTGTACCTCCTAGGTTTTCTCCGCTCTCTCTCTCTGTGATATATAGAGCGCCCTTTTGCGCGCGAAGACGATGCGGACGCGTCCGTGCGCAGCAGCAGCGGCGGCGGCAGCATCACTCGGATCTCTGCAATTAAAAAAGAAGAGAAGTCCGCTGGACACTTTTTGCTGCGAAAGGGAGCAGGAAAACATCATAACTTACAACGAACTCACAAGCCTAGCTATATATATAGCTAGCTTCGAGGGTAGGGTAATTTTCTTATCGAGTCCGCGGAATCATCGCGCGCGTGTGTGTATGTGTGCGCGCTGCTCTGTACACCCGAAAATGCAGATTGCAGCCTCGCCGCAGCAGCAGCAGCAGCGGCAGCCTCAACGTATGCCCGATCACGTTCGAGAGGGAGAAACAATTTAAAGTATCCCACACACACACGAGAGGAGAAGAGGAACGGTAAACAGACGCGGACGACTAGCCTGAAAGCTTCTCTCCTGCTGCTGCTGCGTGTAAAGGCCCCGGCGCATGCATGAGAGCTACCGCGTGTGCCACTATACTCTCTTTGCTCCTGTACGCGATGGTACGTGAATGTGTGTGTGTGTGCGTGAACACGTAAACTTACACGACGAGCCGAGCGTCGCTTTATACACTCGAGCTCGCAAGCTCCGGTGCTGCGAGCAGATATCTTGAAGCTATATAGAGGCTAGGCGCACACGTAGAATGGCTAAACTGACGAGGAGAGAGAGAGAGTTGGCTTACACAAACACACACGCGAGCAAAGCAGCCAGACACAGATTACACATATATAAGCTCTTTTAACACAAAGGCATTCATTGTCTGGAATTACAGCGGCAGTAGCGGGCCCCTCTCTGACCACCATAATGTGCAACAATATATAATGCCTCGCGCTAGCCCTGTGTCCTCGTTCGTGCATACATACTTTAGAGCACTTGTTTTTGTGGTGAAGCTTGTGCAAGCCTAGGCTACGTTCCCTCTCGCTCTCACCCTCTCTGTATGTTTAACGTATTATGTGTTCAGCAACAGCAGCAGCAGCTTTTACCAACACACCGAC